TATGGATGGGTCGAGCCGGTGTTGGTACTGGCGAAGGAGCATGCAGTAGCCATTGCGTAGCTGCGCCAGGGTACATCGAGTTACCATCGGGAGACGTTGTTCCGAGGCCGCAATCGGAGGAGGATAGCCACCTCCAACGTCACAACTTTTGGCGCGTCGTCGTGGTGATAGATTAATGCACGTCAGACATGTTATTAGTAAGAAATGTATTAATGTGCCGTGAGGATGGATTTCCCGGTTGAGGGCTGTTCGCTCACCGGAAACACGTTTTATTCATCTGAGCTTTAAAACCTGCGACCTGTTAATCAGCAATCCGACACTAACCAGTAAACCACGCACCTTCTCGTTCTCTCTCAAGTGCACCGCTTGGGGTTGGGCGTGATTGCTAAGGAGCAAAATATGGCTATTCTAGTCTTCCTTGTATTTGCCAGCAATTTTATCTGTCTAGACTACCAGTCGTTATGTGGCTCGAAAGTGAGCCCCGAGGCAGAACGGAACGAAGAAGTTGCGTCAGCGATAGGTGAACATTCATCAACGGATGTACACTCAATTTAATGACGACTTTGACCACAGGCAAAGTTTAAAGCATTTTTCCCAGGTATAAGTATGAAGCAGGCCAAAACAGCAGAATTTGTGCAAATAAATTTCGAGAGAGCTTGTCAACTGTACCGATAGCCCTTCCTAGCGCTAACAAATATAAATTCCAAACTGCGTCCTTTCTGTGCATGAATAACGAAACAATTGGAGAACACATCATTTTGAATTTTCACAAAATCGATAATAGCAAGGCCACGTTAACGTGACAAATAGTCAATAGTTATGTCAACTTTAAACTTGGAACGAAAGGTACGGAGGGGAATTAACAAAAATAAAAGTGTGGTATGTATTTACCAGGGCAATTGAACATTTGCCTGCTTGGCTTTTAAAACAAGAAAACAAAGTGCCATGGTCATCCATTACAAAACACTTACTAGACAGTGATTATTCCGTTAACACCAACACATCTTTCCGTGTTCTTTTTCGAGCACGAACAAACCGAACATTAAGTTACTCGGAAGCATCCTACATACGGCGGGAGAAACCAGACCTATGTAAGCAACTAGACCACGTAGTTAAAGTTGACATAACTATTGACCATTTGTCACGTTAACATGGCCTTGCTATTTTCGATTTTGTGAAAATTCAAAATGACGTGCTCTCTAATTGTTTCGTTATTCATGCACAGAGAGGGCGCAGTTGATAAGCTCTCTCAAAATTTATTTGCGCAAATAAATTCTGCTGTTTTGGCCTGCTTCAAAAATCACAGACGAAGTGTTTGGGTCGAATACTGCATGCACGTGTTTGAAGACGTAAAACAAGACCCTGACGTACACTGTTGTTGCGCATGAAGACGGGATAATCATCCTGGCTTTCGAGGGACTCCAACCGACTAAGGCGATCCTAAAACAATAAAAAGACACAATTTAGTGAAAATGGTTTAGACTAGTAATACTTATCAACCACTAAGAAAACCACCACCACCGGCAACAGCACATTCTCGGCGACGAATAACACTCCACTGGGTGTGACAAAATGCCCTTCCTTTCCAACTTAGAGTATGAGTTAAACATGAAAACGAACTAGTAAAAAGAGTAATTCTCTTCGAAAGTAACAGAACAGAAGTTAAAAAAAATCAAAATAAACCAGACAACCAGCGAGTAACAAAAATGTGCAGTTTACTACCAGGCCAAAAAACTGAGGTACAGGGAGAGAGTGGAGGTTTAAGAATTTCGATGTTCAATAGGTTCTGTTGTGTCTAGAGGGCAGGCCACGCCTGACCTCGGCTATCTCCTTCAGCAGTGTTTATTAGGTCGGTGAGCCTGAAGGGAGCAGACCGTGTCAGCTGGGAATGAGCAATATGCAAACTTACCAGAAGCCTTAAACAACAGTATGAGCAGTGCTGAATCGGAGATAAAACAGGGATAATGTTTCAGGTAGCCATAAACCGCAGAAACTCACATAAAACTGAATACGGTCTGAGTCGATACAATACTAGTAGAGCATGCTTGTACGATCAGTAGCGTGCTCGCTCGAACTGGCAGGTTTATAAATAAAAGTTGATACTTCCAGCTCAGTAAATCTCATTACAAACCGCCAAAAGCACTAAAATATATTCACGCCCATTCATTTTTGAAAAAAATATTTTAACGGGAGAATAAAAAATGGGTAGGAAGTGAGTTGCAGAAACATACCTCAACGGGTGTTCGTGAGCTTTCGCAGGAAGATATAGTACTAGAAGAAACAAAGAGGGAACATGACTTCTTTGCGAAATGACATGGGTCTGGTAGGGCAGGGCACACTATATGGCTGAGGCTCGGGGCAGGGGTTTAGAGACGGTAGTCACTAACCTCGTACGCTGGCGACCATCACCAGAGGTTGAATCCACTGTAGTTTGCAGA